ATCATCATTCTTACCAATATAGGGAGTGTTGTTTTCTATCTCGTAGCGTAATCTCCAGCTTCATGACTTTATTATTATAACTCTTCCAGTTTCATCACTTTTATATTTTCTAGCATTATCAACGTTGTTCTACTGATCTTTCAATCTTTGGCTGTAGCATTCTGGCACTGGTTTAGATTCATCATCCTAAAGGCTTACATTGGTTGAACGACGCAACAATAGAGTCAACATATCTTGATTATTGAACAGAAATGAGCTATGTGACATATTAAATATAAATACATAACTGATGTTTGTGACCCCGAGGGGGCCCATGAGAAGCGTGGGTCTCGAAAGGGGGCGAAGGAGTGAAAAGTGAAAAAAAAGGTTGGGAAACACAGCTCTAGTTTATGTATAATTTTCATGATAATGTGATGAGGATTTAAGGGCCATGCCTATAGGATCCATCCTGCTTGTGGTCATTCGACCCCCACATTTTAAAAAAATATTTAGCTTTACATAATGACGTTCAATAGAATTCGATTTTGCCAGTAACGTTGGCCCGATATGCTCCTACCAGAAATGTGGATCCTCTAGGTTCCGGTCGATTTTGGCACATGTCGGACCGTAACTGTTCGGTTATGACCCTTGATTGTACGGAAAATCGCGTTTTATAAAAAAAAGTTCAAATACTTCACTGTTACACAATAATTACCGTAGAGTTTGAATTTTGTAAAAATCCAACCGAAACTGCCCAATACAATGGCTGTTCCCTGTACGCAAATAGTGTAAAAACATGTAATACCAAAGTCGTGGACCTTCTAAAAGGTCACAATTTTTATCCAATTTTGATGAACTTTAAAACCTGTTATATTACAAAGATCATGTTCTCTTACCGATATTGGTGCATATCGGACCCCAACTTTCTGGATTATGGATTATTGTACGAATAATTACGTCTTTAGCTTGTGGACCTTCTGCAGGTCCTAATTTTTATTTGATTAAAAAAAAAATAAAACGTTTACATATATTACCGTTATCCCATAATACCGGTTGAGTTCGAATTCCACAGTTATCACTGTTACACCATAATTAAAGTTGAGTTCCGTTTTCATTAGAATCGGAACGAAACTGTCTGACAAAGTGGACACTCCCCTTTACGTAAATAGTAAAATAAGCATATAATACCCTTTTCATCATCATTGATGTAATGAAACTATACTGTGAGATTCACCCGGCTCACCCACTTAGTCTTCTTGTTTCAAAGACTCAACTAATCAAGTTGCTTAGCTATGCTTAACCTTAGAGGAAAATGCTAATCCTCTGACTCCGGCAAAGACATTCACCCAGTAAACACTAACACCATGTTTGAACATCCTATCTGAGTGTGAAGGCGAATTATTGTCTGGACCCATTCGCTTTGAAGTCTCTTATTGGCTTATAAAGCAGAACAAGCTCATCATCGAACTCAGTGAAGGTATTGGTGCACGATTGACCACTGTCACTTTCGTCCCATCCCAACGAATATACGTTGCCCTTTGACATACCTGACAAATCAATCAAAAATCAAAAATAATGTTGATCAAAAACAAAACAAAAAAACAAACAAAAACATATAAGCCCTTCTTAAATCGATGGAAAATATATAAATGAAAAATAATGTTTATCAAAAACAAAACAAAAAACAAACAAAATCATAAAAGCCCTTATTAAATCGAAGGAAAATGTATAGATGATAAATAATGTTACATTTTATTATCGGAAATTGTATTTGTCTTGTATAAATCAATAGTCTTATTCATTTAGGATATCGAATGGGTATTCAATGAAAAAAAGTATTGATTTTGTAGAAGTTTATTAAAGAAACACTTAAAACCACCAAGTGCACTAATGTAAATATATCATGGCCGTTTATGCGGATTTCGAAAACAGTAACGATTCTCGTATAACCGTAATAGAGAGAGAAAAAAAAATGGAGATTAACGTTCACTCGACACTAACTATGCCATTTCGGGACTAACACGTGCTTCAAATTTATTTCAATGATTCGCTTGCGTGTAGGGTTAGCAGTGGGAGGAAACGAGGTTGGTCAGGCGACCCTCCTTGAATCGAAACCCCGACAGTTGACTCATTGACAGACCTTATGATACAGCGCGCACGCGCTAACCATTCGGCCCCTAACCGAAATAAGATGTACCACTGCCTGCCAAATATTAACAGGTATTTATTTTGCAACTAAGCCATATTGAATAACGTTTCAATTTTGAAGTATAATTTTTGGTTTATTTTTTACCATCACTTGTACAGGAGATACAATTGAAAGAATTCGGTGACTGTTTCATAATCTCTTGTACGACCTGCGTAGTATGGTAGTCCGGTCGCCAAACCCAAAATTTCGAGTGAACCTGGAAATTTTGTACGAAGTTTTTTTATAATTGATTTTAGTACTCTAGAGTGTCCTCTTTCAGAATTTGCCAGTTGAACCTGGGTCACCCTTGAGTTTTTGAGAAATTCCAGATGGTGTCCAAGATGATCTCCATTGCAAATAATCCCAGTATATAACTCACAAAGTGTTTAGTTAAGGATGATTATTTTGGTGCCTAAAGATATGTTTTGGGGTTCTAGAAATATTATGTTGTGAAGTGATTAGATGATAGTAAAATCCCAAATGGTGGCCAATATGGCCCCTTAACTCTTCACCGAACCAAAGTATATCTAGAGACAAACATTATATTTCAGGACATAGGATCAGAATATGACTGATACGATGACACCACATACATGCCTATCAGGGGCTCCATGAAAAGGGAGCACATACCTTTTTTTTTAACATTTTCGAAAATAACAAATCGAATTCTACCAGCAAAACACAAAAAACCCCACAAAACTAGGTAATATTCAGTTGAATCCTTTAGTTTCCTGCTGCAACCTGCGGCAGCACAGGCACAAACACTCTACAATCTAAGCCACAGAGAGGGAGATGGAGTTTAACGTCCACTCGACACAAACTAGGCCATTTCGGGACTAACATGGTTTAAGTTTATTTCAATATTTCGCTTGCGGGTAGGGGTATTTAGCAGTTGGAGGAAACCGGAGGACCCGGAGAAAACACACGAGGTTGGACAGGCGACCCTACTCCTTGTCACGTACAAGCGGGGAATCGAAACCACACCAGTTGACTCAATGAAAGACTTTATGGTACAGCGCGCACGTGCTAACCATTCAGCCATCCAATCCCCCCAATCTAAGCCACCCCAAGTGCACACGTACTATATATGAGGATTAACGTCATGTTAATCTGCGCCGACCGGGTCCGCTCTACAGTGGCTATGAGGGACATTTTGTCCGAACCACGTCGCTAAAGTCTTCTCCCATCTGAACGACTATTCATTGTCCTTTGCCCAGGCCTTCGGTCCTGCACCACTTACAAGGAAAGAACTACGCCGGAAAATCAGGATAATAGGTTACAAGGCAACAAAACATAAACCCACAGCAGTTAAATCGCCCGGCAGTAAACACGGGTTGTCGCATATCTATTGTATGTGAGTAATGGAAGCTTTTAAAAGACACAAGACATTATCAGAAATAATTAAATTTTGTTGGTTTCTAGTTCTTCAAGATGCTAAGATTTAGTATACAAAACATGTACCGGTAACAGCGATAAATGTGTATTTTAATTTCAAATCCACAAGCTTTTTAAAAGTGATCAAGGGTAATAACTAATTCTAGACTTCTTCATTTCATGAATATAAACACGGTGTGTAGCAAACCCCAAACGATTGCCATGCAAGAGACGGATGAAGAACAGGGAAAATCAAATTTGAAAAGAAAAAGTTAAAAACTGATTCAAGATTCAAGATTAACCATTATAATTTAATCTGGCATACACATAGTGACAACCCCCCAGTCTTAAAAATAATGTCCTTATTGGTTAAGGCTATTGCATAGTTTTACGGAACTAGCCAAAATTGGGGACAAAGACCAATGGTCAAAATGTACATTGCTTAATATTTTGATTATAACAGCATAATTTTTTCTACTGTCCACGGTGGTGCATTTTCGGTGTTCAGGTATCTTGAAGTACCAGATTGAGGCATTCTCGGTGTTCAGGTATCTTGAAGTACCAAATTGAGGCATTCTCGATGTTCAGGTATCTTGATTGTTAGCACTTCAATAATGTTAAACTCCATTTTTTGGGATTGGGAGAATGTACGCGTGTTATAGTCGTGATCTGACGGTTTAATATTGCCTCAGACACACTGTCCATCGTTACCTCCCCTATCTGTAGCCTTCACTAATCTCCTTGTTGCCTCCTTTCATCACCTTCGTTACCTTCCCTAGGCCTCCGTGTTGTCCCCCCACCCCACCCCACCCCACCCCCAACGACGCACTGCCCCTCGTTACGTTCTTTGTTGCCCCCGACACACACACTGCCCTTCGTTGCCACCCCTGAACATCCGTGCAGCCCATAAGCCCCCCCCCCACTCCCAACATACACTGCCCTTTTCGTTACCTCCCCTGATCATCCGATTTGTCCCTCCCCTTTACGTCACAGATACCCTTGTTACGTCCCCGGTGGTATCTCAAGTTTATAAACGAAATGAAATGAAATGGGGTTTAACTTCCTACTGTTCTGATCCTATACTAGGCTCATAAAGACGGACATACGCCATACAGTTTTGCCCGGGCAGCGGCACTATGGCCTACGCCGATGTATACACGGGACCTCGGTTTTTCGTTCCATCCGAACGACTAGACAGCTGTCCTTGTCAAGCCCTCCGCCCTGCATCACTGACAAAGAGAACCCACGTCGGAAAATCCCGATGAACTTTCTCGGCCAATGCAGGGATCGAACACACGACCACTAGGCTAGCGAGCCAGCGTCTTACCCACTTAGCCACCGTGACTCCCTAAGTTTATAAACTCTTCCTACCGACCTACGTTGTCGGATTCGATGGAGGTGTATGGATTATTCATCCCTCCACCTTATTTGCAGTTTGAATTAAAAAGGAAATAAGATATGCTTTTCAACTTTTTTTTATCTATTTTCAAAACAATAAGGCCAAGGGTATATTTTGGTAAAATGGAAAATTGACATTAAATCAAAATGAGATAATCAAATGTAATTGGGTTACAAGAAAATAGATTGTTGAAGAGTGAGATTTAAACATTACAATTGCAGGTCTTGGTACCGGCGTTGATGTTGAGACCTTTCTGTTGGCAGTTGGCACAGCAGAGTTTCACGCCGCTCACACTTCCAACATAGCCTGGGTCGCAGCCGTTACACTGACTTCCCTTCCAACAGTCTCCAGTCCAATCCCCTACAAAATACATTTAGAAATGTTAAACATCAAATTCTTAAAATACAATTTTTCTAACTAAATACACACACACACACACACACACACATATATATAATAATTTCAAAAAAGATACTGAAATGAGAATAATATGCTGAAAATTTCAGAGAAATTGCTTCACTCTGAACCTAGATATTGGCGATTCAATTTTAGACAAGCCTCGATCGTCATTACTACCGTTGTTATTATAATAAACAAAGTCTCGATTATCCATCTGAACGGTCATTTCATCGAAAACAAAACTTATTCAAATCCACTATGATTATCGTCTTGATAAGTTAATGAATGTCTAATAAATAATTTAGATATCATTTAGGGCCTAAAGAAAGACATGCGGTTGGATGGCCGAATGGTTAGCACATGCGCACTGTATCATAAGGTTTGTCATTGAGTCAGTGGACGTTAAACCCCATCTCTCTCTCTCTCTCTCTCTCTCTCTCTCTCTCTCTCTAAAGAAAGACCAGTAGTGCAATTGGCAGATTTAGCTCTGGCATAATGCATGTTTAATACATATCATTCAGCATTATGAGAAGTTATACACAAACGGTTGCCTTATTATGCGTGTTACTATGCATAGGCGTACAGGCATTTTGGGCACCAAATGCTGGGAAAATTTGGGCACACAATTGTACTTTGTAAGAGTTGTATAAAAAAATATTGTGTTCTTGAATGTGTCCAATTTAACAGCGAATTTAAATTCAGAGTGTCTATAGTTAGGCAATTAAATAGAAATCTTAAGACTCGAACCCTCTATTGTTTGGAGTACAGTAAGCCACGAGTTACAGTTACATAAACAACTGTTTTTAGTTGTGTATATTACAAGTAAATAAAATTTAGTTCTCTTTTATTGATGATTTAGAAATTAAGAACTTATTCATCGCAAAAAAGATATTATTATTATTATTATGTAACATACTAAGAACCTAACTACATTTTTGGGGCACCAACCACCACCGCCCCCGCAGTCAAAAATTTCCCCGTACGCCTATGTTACTATGGTGTATCTTTTCTTCGTAGCCAAATATAAATATATATCTATATTTTTCAGTGTGTTGCTATTTGTTGAGTTAAGAAGGAACGACAATTTATATAATGATGATTTTTTTTGTAGTGTTCTTGTATATACTTATCTCATACTAGTATGAAATGGGGCTTATCCTGTCCCACAAAGTACGAAATCTTAATGTTTAATGATTGACCTGTTTCAACCACAGGCTATGTGGTGATATCCTAAACTTACGCGAGATCTTGAGAGAGAGAGAGAGAGGGGGAGAAATGGGGTTTAACGTCCACTCGGCACAAACTAGGTCATTTCGTGACTAACATATGGTTTAATTTTATTTACATAATTCGCTTGCGCGTAGGGGTCTTTAGCAGTGGGAGGAAACCGGAGGACCCGGAGGAAACCCACGAGGTTGCGAGATCTTGATATACTATATTTCTTAATTATATTATATAACGGCCATTCTGAAGACGATCTAGTTATACTATCATATGATTGTGGCAACAATCTTTACTACGCTGAAAGAAACCCTCATTCGTTTATAACATTTTGTGATTGACACGCCGTTCTAAATCCATTACTAAATAAAAGACATTTTATATAACTTATCCAAGGGTTGTAGCAGTTACCACTCTCTAGGGCGCTATACATATCATAGTAACAATTACTCAAAACACTATTATTACTTTTAATTATGTTTAACCAGTACTTATTTTTTTTTTACATAAAAGGATATTCACGAAATTCAAAGACCACCAATATGTTGCTTGTTGACGTTCTGACATCCAGCAAAATGACCTATGGACCTGTTTCTATACTATTGGCATCCTGATATTCCCAGACTTCTGGTGCATAATTTAGAACTGGGGCGACGCATGTGTCAAATAATGCTTTTAAGCCATCATTTTAATATACAAACCAGTTAAAACTGGTTTGTATATTAAAATGGTTGTCTTTGATTGTGCATTAAACTAAAGCAGGTTTTCTGTCCCACAGGGCTATAGTTTTCATTGTAACAGATAATTTACGGTCAATTCAAAGTTCAAGTTTGAGACGTGTCTCTTGAGTAACGGCGTCCAAGTTGGTATCACCCAAAGGCGGTGGTCCTGAGTACAACCACATTAGGGTAGTGCCTGAAAGACCATAGATCAGATGCAGTGCGTGCGCAGTCTGGCTTGAGTAACCACTATTGCAAATGTTCTGCCCCTAAACTGGGCTAATGAAGACGGGCATACGCCATACAGTGTGCTATGAGGGACATTTTGCCCAGGAAGCGGCGCTACGGCCTACTCTTATATCGAATTCAACTGCCAAGGGATCTTTTACGTGCACGCCAATATGTACACCGGACCTCGGTTTTTCGTCCCATCCGAACGACTAGACAGCTGTCCTTGTCAGACCATCCGTCCTGCATCACTGACAAGGGGGAACCACGCCGGGAAATCTAGATGAACTTTCTCGGCTAATGCAAGGACCGAACACCCGACCTCCAGGCTAGCGAACCAGCGTCTTACCCACTTAGCCACGTGATCCTCAACCACTATTGCACCGATATGGCTGGATAAATATAGACTTTTAGACCAGCTGACTTTTAGGTCCCCCCACTCTCCCCCCTGCGTTATCAAGAGGCTAGTTCATTTTATAGTCTAACAATTATGTCGATTAACGTATCGAGACACAACTTCTCGTAGTTCACAGACTTGTGTAGCTCTGTTAGTAACCTTGATAGTTGAGAGAATTTTGAATATAATGAATTAAAACAAGCGCAATCGATTTGTCAATTTCAAGAAAATGACGTCATTATCTGTATTGACTGAAGGATGTGATTCAAACTAATTCTATCCGCAATCCCTTTAGACGGATATATTTGAATAAATAAGTAATGAATTATAAAGCCAAGGGTAGTGATAAGATAATAAATTATGTTAATCGAGTTAACCGCCATTTTTACGAAATCCTGTATATTGATAGTGTACTTACTGCATTGGCAGTCATAATCCCGTGTACCAGAAATGGGAACAAGTCTGGTTACTCTAGAAGTATTGGTTGAACAGCAGATCGGCATATTATTGAATTTTCCATAGTTCGATTCGGCATTAGACGCTGTACATTGTTCACCACGTTTACAAGTCCCCATAATACCTACAATAACAATTAAACTAAATACCTAATACATTACACATTTTCTGTTATATCTTCTCCCACAAGAATAATAAATGTTGGTCAAGGGGGGTAACTGCAACTAGACACGCGGAAGATAGTTTTTTCTTGTAGTGTAGGACTAAATGAACAAAACTACATCACACGCGAACTGTTCACTCGGTTCAACCTTCGAATGTATAGTCCAAATTGTCCAGGGTTGTCTTGAGGATGCAAATGGTCAACTGTTTTGTATTATGAAGCCGGTTGGAGAGCTCGGGCCAATTGGGGAGACCCGACTTGTTGGGGAGGTGACTAAGGTGATAACAACCAGCGCTTACGGGGGACAAAACAAGGATACATGTTAATGTCACAGAATATTCCGTTACGGTTACTGTCAAAATATTAGTTTTAATGACCCGCCGTCCACTTATACACTACAACACTGCGACTACAGGACTGAAAATAATGCAAAATGATACAGGTGCATGTTTAGCCATAATAAAATGTAACTATCAATAAATAATTTCTACTTACGTTTAAAATCGCATTCACAGAAAGCGCGTTTGGTAGCAGTTGCACTTGCCGCTCTAAAATACATGCTCTGAATCCCGTCTTCTAGCATACAACAGACCTTTACGTAGCTAGCAGGTTGACCGGGGCGTCGTAAATTGATAATTTTAAAATTTGTAGTCTTGCTACAAGTAGCATTGATTGCACAATTACCTGAAAAAGAACAGATATTTAGACTGCATTATGTGTAGACTAGGAACTAGGCCTCAACCGCTATCCATCTTCTTGCTGTTCTTCGAACAAAGTCTAAGACACCGCCAATTCTTTCTATGATCGACATGACGCTGGACTGCGATGACGCCATACGCAGTTCACATTACGCTAATTCAGAGAATGGACATCGATTAACGGGATAGATGGGTTACATCCTCATATTGAACTGAAATGGGAGCCATCGAAGTAGAACAGAACGAAATGAAGTGAAATGAAATGGGGTTTAACGTCCTACTGTTCTGTCCTAACCTGGGCTAATGAAGACGGACATAAGCCATACAGTGTGAGGGAAATTTTGCCTGGGCAGCGGCGCTACGGCCTAGTCTTATATCGAATTCCAACTGCCAAGGGATCTTTTACGTGCACGCCAGTGTATACACGAGACCTCGGGTTTTCGTACCATCCGAACGACTAGACAGCTGTCCTTGCCAGGTCCTCCATCCTGCGTCACTGACAAGTAAATGAGAAGTAGCATCAGGTGTTCTTATAAATCCAAGATAATATATTACACAAGTTGGGGGTTGGATGGCCGAATGGTTAGCACGTGCGTGCTGTAACATAAGGCCTGTCCAACCTCGTGGGTTTTCTCCGGGTCCTCCGGTTTCTTCCCACTGCTAAAGACCCCTACGCGCATGCGAATTAATGAAATAAAATTAAAAACCATATGTTAGTCTCGAAATGACCTAGTTTGTGTCGAGTGGACGTTAAACCCCATTTCTCTGGCTAGGGTTCTCTAGTAATTATCATTAACTTGAGAATAATTCTAGTTTAATAGAACATCCTACATAACAAGTACCAGTGTTTTTTCACCTCAGTAACATTATGCTCCATAACAAACCAGGCACCGAGTTCAAAAAAGAATTTTCAGACTTCAATTAAGAATTTACTCTACTTTCAATCACTGTTTTATGAGAAATATCTTTGATTCAGAAACACAAAACTTTGCGCATAGTTTCTTAGTGATGTATTTGATACATTGAAACATTCTTAGTGATGTATTTGATACATTGAAACAACAGAAATTTTATAAGGGCTATATTTTAGTTAAAACAAGGCGAACAATTTTGAGTAAATTCTTAACCGAAGCCTTATAATGCTTTGTGAACATGGGCCCGATTTCAAGCGATGCTGCCCATCACAGTATGCGATCTATTGTGCTTTCAGGGTTAGATTATCGTAACAGTCTGTTAGATAATTAACACAGAGAACAAATTAACAGACTTCAACGAACTATAAACACGGTTGCGATATATATGACTAAAACGTGTATAACTTCAGTTCTTACAGTGAATTGTGTGAAATTACCCCCCCCCCCCGGAACTTACTTATCAGTGTTTTCATTAAACATACATTATGCAAGAGCTAAATCTGTCTATTGCAGATCTTTCTTTGGGCCTGAAATGTTATTTAAATTATTAATTAGACATTAATTAACCTATCCAGACCATAATCAACTCTAGATCTTTAGTGGATTTTGAGCCGATTTACTGCATAACTTTCCTTCACGATTTAACCGATAATCGAGACTATGCTGTTTATCGTACTGACTTTAGTAATGATGATCAAGGCTTGGCGGAAATTCAATCGCTTTGTTCTCGGTTCATAGTGGATCAATTTGAATGAAATTTTCAGCAAATTGCCTTTACATTATGTAGTTTTTAACTATTATAGTGAGAACTACCAACTCGTTATCGAATCCCCCATAATGTATCTTTAAATTGCACCAAATCATCTATCGAAACGTGTTTCAAAATCTCATACCTGTGGATGACTTCAACCGGCTAACCAAAACTAAATTAAGATTATTTGGATAGCTATACCTCCAGTAGATCTTAACAACATTGTGGAATAACCTGCCATCAGATGTTAAAGATACACCACCCTTTTTGAAGACTTTATTAAAACACACCAGTTTAAAGAATATTATGATATTCTGTTATAGCACATAAACCATAATGTCATTAGACTGTTTGTAGAGCTATGGGCATATACTTAGTGTATGGAGTTTAGCGCGTAAAAAAAGTGCACTATTATTATTTTAATTATAAACCAGAAACCTACCATGGCGTCAACTTGTAATTGTGACGTCATATAAAAATCTAAGTCTGGAAATCGAAGCACAATTGTCTAATAAACATGCGTCTCAAGTTTCATGTAGATCGTACTCGTATTGACGCAGAAGAACAAAGGGATTGAAAAAATTTATGAAACCAGTTTCAAGTACTTACTTCCCATGCCATGAGTTACATCCACCACTAAACACAGAGTAATCAAGACAACACACATGAAGCTGACAGAATTCATCTTATATACTATAACAGAAATATACAAACAAGTTTAAATCTATAAACAGCAAATAAAACGCAGGGGGGGGTTCCTAAATTTTTCATTTTTATATCTTATGTTTTGTTCAAGACTGAACCGCTATATTTTAGCGCTATATGAATCCCCAGCAAACTGTAATTTTGAAAGTTTAATTACAAATAGAAAGTATTATCAGTCCAATTAAGTATTTACAAATTTGGACATTTCATCGACCTATTAATTCTGCTCTCTATGTAACAATCTCACCGCAATCTCTTTTGACGTGAACCCAATTGATCGACCTGTATTTAATTTGATTTATTGGACGCCGCTAGAATATCTACCGTTTTGTTTATTTTTTTCTTAATTACCGGTTAAAGAGCCGCCAGATTATCTACGCTGACTTTTTTGGGGCGATTTTGTTTCCTAATTAATAGTTAATTAAAGATTGTTTTATAATTTCAAACTATTAATCAATAAGATAGAGAGAGAGAGAGAGAGAGAGGGAGAGAGGGGAGTTTAACGTCCACTTGACACAAACAAGGTCATCTCGGGACCAACATATGATTCAATTTTATTTCAATAACTCTCTTGCGCGTAGGGGTCTTTAGCAGTGGGAGGAAACCGAAGGACCCGGAGAAAACCCACGAAGTTGGACAGGCGACCCTATTCCTTGTCACGAACAACCAGAGAATTGAAACCACGCCATTTGATTCAATAACAGACAGACCTTATGATACAGCGCGCACGTGCTAACCATTCGGCCATCCAACCCCCTAAATCTGCTATATAAAAATAAATATCGTAACCAACAGATATGTCTTAAAATATATATTTATAAATAAGGATTTTCGCAGCGTAAACATCTTACTTTAATGAAGGAAAAAATCGCACAATTTTTAGTTTTGGAAAAACACGCGAAAACAATTCACTTTCTAAACTTTAACTTGGCGCCAGAAATGTTATTATTAAAATAAATTTTTTGAACTTTATTTGGAATAATGGTTAGAAAATAAAAAAAAATGCTACACATATTTGCAAAGCCATACTCCTCGCAGTGTTTCGTTTGATTATACCTAATCCCGCTAAACGCTGCTTTAAAGAAGGCAAATTTCTGTTCCAAATTATGACTGGTCAATGGTTCGATTTACAACCAATAGCTAACTGAGTTACAAAAGCATTACGCTTAAAACAGAGCTCCAAATTGGACCAAATATGTTTACATAATTATACGTCATGACTTACGATTTTATTATGCCCAATTAACCCGGGCATAGCAGAATATTGCACAAAAACTAATTGCGTGACAAACGAGGCTATCAAATCGAAAACAATGTAAACATTGTGGAGACGAAATATTTTCACCGTTTTTAATACCTTAAACCACTGTCCAAAGTTTTAGGGAAGACCCAGATTAAACGAAGGGCTGTCATGTTGCTGTACTTGGGATAGCTGTACTTGGGATAGATTTGATTGAACGGGAAGAATAGACAAACTCCCTCAAAAGCTCAAGTATCAGAAGCCAATCTAGCAATGGCCAGATAGGGATTTCTCGGGCCATGGCTTCAGGAATATTTTGCAAACCAAGTAATTGGTCGAATTTCCAAAAAGCGAACTGTAAAATAAATGGAATAAAAACCACTTACTGAAGTCAATGGAATCTGTAATAGTTTCTCGGTTTGTGGATTATATCACAGCTCGCGCTATACACGCGCTTATATACCCAACTATACATCCTGTTTACTGTGCAATACTTGACTCATCTTCTCTGAAAAAATAATCATCTATTCAAAAGTAAATTATTGCGAAATTTGCCTTGTTTGTTGCGCAGGTATAGGCCAGTCCAGCCCAGTTTAGTCCAGTCAGTTGAGCTCATTTTAGGGGGGGGGGGAGGAGGGTCGGTACAGAAATGTAATAACCCATATAAGTATGGATGGCTTGTCAACATATGGGCATAGTAAAGAGGGTAATAAAATGACACATGAAATTAATTCAAAAATTGTCATTTCAGAATAATCTATTTGAATTGCCCGTTCAACATTAAACACTCCTAAATTTCTTTATTGAAAAATTGTCTCTTCAAGGATGATATCTATGGATTATATTAATCCTAATTCGTTGCGATTTATGTTTGTTTATATTAATGCATGAATTGTGGGATTTATTTCGGGAACGTTTTCTTGATTTCAACTTAAAAGCCCCATTGTTCGTGCGTAACCGTTGCTTCGTTGTTTTTATGTGGTGAGTTATGTCAAATGTGGACAACTGGCCAAACCATTCTTACGTTGAAGACTGAGGTTCTAGGTGCCCGAAACTAAAACACAGTTTACAAGCATAATTCTACATAAAACTTAAAGATAAAATGTCTTTCATTCCTGCAACCCACGCCAAGGTCTCCTCATAACTTCAATGGCATCTAATACTACAAGTTGTTTATTACAAACGTCCAATACGTTATCATATGATATTAGGGACAAGTTGACTTAATTAAGTTATTTACATATAAAGGCGTGATGTAAAAAAAAAGAAAATGGATAAAACACACCCAAGTTCTTGTATATCAAAATGTCACTTTAAAACACGGTGTTAAACTCACTATCGTGATAAGAGAGTACGGGCCATGTTATTCTCCTTTTGTCATCATAAACACAAGTTAAAACAGAGAGTCAGCTGTTTGATATCATCAGTGGGGAAAAGAATCCGGTTGGTTTATGTGGAAAAGCGACGTTCTCGCAGTAAAAACCACAGAGCTGGACTTGAGGATTATTAAAAACAGTTCATCACTTCAACAGTTTAAAATTGTATAGTCTGCAGTCCATTAGTAGAGTGATTCAGGGTTTGACGAAAATCCAACTGAAAATATTTGGGGCTTATATTATCATTATATGAGAAGGCTTACCATAAAGTCTGACCACGTTTGATTTTTGACAATATAACCATTTAGACATTTGTTTTTAAATGCTTCAAATTACGATCGGCTCCCATTATCAAGTGAGCTAAATCTTTGTGACAATACGACTTAGGGTCTTGGTTACATCAAAACTTTGCTTGGGAACGAATACTTAATTCGGGAATCTTCGTTTTTTTAACGTACGTACAAATAACGATTGAATTTAACGTTTGTACGCATGCACAGACCTTAGTTTTTGAACACGAGAGAGACAGACAGAATATAAAAATATGAAAATAAATATAAATACATTAGACCATAATTAAAACTTTCAAATAATAATCCTATTATGTTTCCAATAATTATCACAGCTAAATATGAAAATAAATGCACAGCTAAATACGAAAATAAATGCACAGCTAAATATGAAAATAAATGCACAGCTAAATATGAAAATAAATGCACATCTAAAATAGAAATGAAATGAAATGAAATGGGGTTTAACGTCCTACTGTTATCTAAAATAGAGCACACGACCTAAAAATATTAGAATTTGAGTGCTGTGACCAGTACCGTAAGTTTACTTTAATCATACAAGCCTGGTTAATCAAGACTACGGAAATACATTTTGTTCAGTTAATTTCCGGTCTCAATTTTTGTTGTGCGTTATAAAAAAAATGAAAATTAAGACTTGTCTACGATATCACCTTCGGTGGAAGCGGACGTTAAACACTAAGAACAACAACAGATAAGAATATGGCGCAATCGTTTGACATGACTTGCGGAACATGAATAGCCTCTTTCTTGGAGTACCTTATTACAAATGGCGCTGAAACGCATTCTGTTACACGACTCGTGTACCAATAGCAAAATGTTTAGTTTGTCTTAAATATTGGATATCAACATCAATGTTGATTTAAACTGACAAATATACTATCCTACAACAATAGTTCCTTCCTGTGTAACTAGTTATGTAGTTCCCTTCATTAATGTTAATTTATCTGATATTATTAAAGCATTCAAGTGACTTAGCTGCCAACCTGGTCTACACAACCAGTTATATTTCCATGACTAGGAGTGCTCTATTTTGAGCGATTAACTTATAGTTAATTGCCGATTCTGGTATGAATTTTATATAAAATATTTCGGGGGGGGGGGGGTAAATTGAAGTTTTGGCATTTGGCATCTTCCTTAAATTTCTTACAGGGAGTTGTCTCTTCCAATTTACTGCACGCAGTGACATGATTAAAGGTTAATATGTGGCCGCTTTCGCACTTCAACTGTCTCCATGATATTTTATCTTAATGTCAGTTCGTTGCCCCTCAATTCGAATAGCATTTCATCTACTTTCTGCAATAGACTTTCCACTTGTGTGCCAAATGAAGCTTTTGTTGCTAGTTTTATTGCTTGGTATTGTAAACTGTCTAATTTAGCAAGAGCTGTTTTATTTGCGCTAATTAGGTCATTGGTTAATTACGCCCAGATGAGTCACAGATATGTCTACCTAACGTCATTTTATTCTCAAAAAAAAAAAAAAAAAAAAATAAAAAAATAATAACGCTTTAAATAAAAAAGAGAACTTTTAGGTTAGACTGTAATTATATTCATATAACTTATAATTCAAATAGAATAAATCGCGAATTATATTAAAGAATTCTCTTACATTTAGACATTCTAATCTTATTTTTTTATAAAATATTTACGTGTGAGAGAGGCCTGTAACATTTTCTTTAGAAAGTAACATATTTAAATGAATATGGTTGAGCAATAAGGCCAAAATAAAAATTACATGTATTAACTGTTACCCAAAGGACTATATTTGTTTGGAGCCAAAATGGCAGACCCTAAACTTTGTTTCTCATTTTCTAGGCCCTATAACTCGATCTTGACGTGATCTTGAAATTGCGGTATTATTTTCAAGAACCTCGCTCAGTTATTGAGCTAGACATGCTAGAAGTAGATTATACAATACCCACGAAAAATAATAAATAAAATAAACAGATATTCCGACCACCCGTCCCAATTTTTTGTGGCCACATAAACATAAACACAGGTATTAATTTTGTTTTCGTGGCCTAAGAGTGTTGCAATCTAAACAGGTGTCTTTCAATATTCTGGCTTGATGTTGCAATCTATTGTGAATATTTAATTTATGTGTTATTCATTCATCTGAAATACAAACTAACGGATGTGCATAAAAATATGTCGGACAGTACGGACAATAGATTTCTAGCTATTTTGTGGGATACACATCACCTTATGCTAATCAGATCCGTGTTGAAATGAGGATAAATCATACTCACCTTTATCTACTATTTCCCCATGCCTAAACAAAATGGAAGCCATTTTGCCCCCCCCCCCCACCTCGCCTAACACATACGTATGATATGCTTTTATCTTCAATCACTACTTTGAAAAAAAAACCCCAAAAACAAAAGAAAAAAAAAACACTTTTAATGTCTCGTTGCGACATATTAGCGCAATAGGATTGCCTGGCAAAATACAATGTTGAATTTCAAATTTCATTGATCTATGCTGCTCACGATATAATAAGCCCGCCGCCATTTTGTTGTTCGACAAAAGAATTGAATCATAGGTCCATTTTAAATTCGATTGAATTCAAGCTTGGAGTACTTATTAGCGTGGAATTTATGCCGTGAACAATTTGATATATTTTTCGAAAAATTCAAATACGCCAGAATTTATTGAAGGGTGCTGTTTGAATTTTGGAATGTGCGCATGGCTCTTAATGCACAATGTTCACGTGATATCATAGCCTTAAAGGGGAAGACCAACGATTTTCAACAAGTTTTCCATAAACCCTAAATATATATTCATATATAATCCTCTCTGCAAAACAAACAAAAATGTTTTTGTAAGCGAGAAATTAATTTTTATTAAAACAGGAAATGACCAATCTAATTAAAATATAGATCTATATTTCGTTTCGTTTTTTTTATACTTTCGATGGCCTACACTACATGTAGATCTAACAAGTTATAGTGGGAGTTCACGTTCTATGACGTCAGGTACCAAGCAAGCGACATTTGACTCGATTACGCCGGTCATTCGATTAACCAATTAGCGACCGCCATGTATTTTTTTTTATCTAGTTTTGATTTGTTTTAATTTCTAATGTCTACCCACAGTTCCGCGCAAAAATGGTCAAACGCTCGATTCGACAGACCATTTGATTGGCTGACCCCTCATTTCAAGCAGAACAAGAGTTAAATAATAACGCTTCCAGATCCAAGTGTAGTAAAGACAAGTAAAATCGTAATTTTGAACTGTAAAAACGAAACGAAATTGGATCTGTGTTTTAATCAGATTGGGAAATGACGTAGTTGGTTCAACACGCTCACTGGTCTCTAGTAAGCATACAGATTAGGCATAGGGTTTCTGCTGTATTTTGTTCGTCCTTTGGCAAAAAATCTGAGCGAATGGACTGTTTATTAGGATATTATAATAAACATGAAATATGTTTTTTTAACGTTTGGTACACAAAGCCGTCTCGTAATATCACTTATACTGAACAGTATGCTGTGGCCCAATTCACGGTACATGGCTGATTGTTTACATCACGTTGATTCGACTGGATATTTTATACTCTTTTTGCTGTAGTCATAGAAATGAAATGAAATGAAATAAAATGGGGTTTAACGTCCTACTGTTTTGCTCCTATACTGGGCTAATGAAGACGGGCATACGCCATACAGTGTGCTATGTGGGAAATTTTGCCCGGGTAGCGGCACTATCGCCTACTCTTATATCGAATTCCAACTGCCAAGGGATCTTTTACGGGCATTCTAATGTTTACACGGGACCTCGGTTTTTCGTCTCATTCGAAGGACTAGACAGCTGTCCTTGTCAGACCTCCGTTCTGCACCACTTACAAGGGGAAACCACGTCGGAAAATCCAGATGAATTTTCTCGGTCAATGCAGGGATCGAACACCCGACCTCCAGGCTAGCGAGCCAGCGTCTTAACCATCTAGCCACCGTGGCTCCTGTAGTCATAGACTGTTTGTGTTTTAGTCACGTATTGTATCCCAAAAAGTTGGATTTAGAAATAAGAGTATAGGCCATAGCGTTGGTGTCCAGGCAACCATTCCCATGGCCGCACATTGTATGACGTATGCCCACCTTCATTAGAAAATTAGAACGTTAAACCCCATTTCATTTCTGACGACGGCTGTGGTACTCTGACCCTCTTTAAGTAACAAAATGAAGCATTCTCGGTGTTTAGGTATCTTGAAGTACCACAATCAGTAGCGGATCTGTGAATAGTGTGTGTGTTTGTGTGATTGTGCGGGAAGAGGGGGGGGGGGGAGGTAAATCAATGTCAACAAAATACTAATAAAATGCATTAAACAACACCGAGCGCCCCGGAATACCTATATAGTTGTCTCGCCAGAATGCAGTTTTATTCAAGTTAACATAATGTTCATTTCATAATATGATTATTATTGATTTTATTGATATTATGAGGGGCGCCCCTTCGCCTGACTGTGTATTAACAAAATAACCGACAGTGAATATAAATGATATAACACTCATGTTGTAAGATAGTATTCATCATAAACACAAATATAAATTTCTTTCTTCTGTTATAATACAAGTTTATTTCCAAAATAATTCAATGTGAATTATCAACCCTGGCTGTAGCCCATTAAACAAGAAGTTTTATCCTTAACATATTTATTAACTTTCATTGTACATATTTAACATTTTGAGTAAAAGAAAAGGATGGGGGTGGGGCATAACTTAAAAACGGAAGGTGCAGTACGCACCAAAATTGAAGTTGTCCAAGAACTTTTAATACTTAAAGGGCAATGTTGGTGTCAGCCAATATTACATAGAACTGGTTAAAACATTCCAAATATAATATTAACACCGACATCATCGTTGCGGTATATGCCCTATAGGACTCGGAGAAAACCTACGAGGTTGGACGGGCGTCCCTACTTCTTGTGAAAAGGAGAATGGCCATTTTGACGAGAAGTTACACTTATGGTGTAACAGTGGTGATATACATGAACGTTTCTTTTTTAAATTATTGAAAATTTTGACCTCAAGAGGGTCTAACAAGGACAGCTGTTTAGTCCTTCGGATGAGACGAAAAACCGAGGTCCCGTGTATACATTGGAATGCACGTAAAAGATCCCTTGGCAGTTGGAATTAGCTATAAGAGTAGGCGATAGTGCCGCTGCCCGGGCAAAATTTCCCTGATCGCACACTCTATGGCGTATGCCCGTTTTCATTAGCCCAGGATAGGAGCAGAACAGTAGGATGTTAAACCCCATTTCATTTCATTCATTTCTAAAACGATATATGTAAAGTAGATTTATTTTGTTAATAGAAGGATAATATATAATTTAAGATAGATTGTATGTGGATTGAAAATAGTATCCTATTGATCCTACCCTTCTCCTTTGGAGTTGCGTCCCTTTAGCTCAGCATACCAAGAATATTCGCCAAAATCTATTATATGACCACAATACTAAGTAATTGCCCAATTGACTCTGTAATGCCAATTGTAGTCTCTTTAACAGGCGTGTTGAAACCTTTCTACCACAGCTTTCCCAAAAGCATGGATGAGGTTCATCATGGAAATCGTTAGATCCACAAACTGGCAGTAGCATAACTCTGTTATCCTTCCGCCCCCAAATCATGAATATTCAACGAAATATGGCATTCGACATTACAACAAAAAGCTAACAAAAAGCACCATGCAAAATAGTTAGTCGTTAAAAATAACCGTGTAAATTTGATTCTCCATTATGAAACCATTCTTCCCGTACACGTCACACATTCATGCACGCTCTTGAAATGTCCACACGGTTCCCTTTGAATGCTTTGTTGGTTTTCCCCACATAGGGAGCATACAAAAACCGGCCGCGTTTATGCAACACATTACCGTTATATTCTGGCGGTTATTAGTATCTCTTTCATGAAGGGACCTTACGCCCTTTCGGGCAATAACCCTAACAGGGTCATGTTGGAATGATATGCCTGTTTCATCGCAGTTCCATATCATTTCCGGATATGCACCCACGTTAAATGTTGGTATTAAGTGAAAAGTTTTTCTGGTTTTCTGGTTGTTTATTCTAGAAATCGAACTTTCAAGTGCCGCCACCAGTCATTACCAGGAATTCCGTTTTTAAAGGGGGTGTTATGTTTAGATTGTTTTGCTAATGCTGAAGATTTTTTTTTTATCAAAAACAGTTATTTGGTTGACACAAATCCCGTTTCAGACGCCTTCAAAACTTATACAGTTTCTTCCTCCGTCTTTGGAGGAATCTCAATCGGCCTACCATGAAGTGCGCCGGGATTGATTATCCGAGAAATTCAGACCATGACAGTCGCAAATGTAGATATCTGTCTGACTGGATGACACTTCATTTCCTGAAGCTAAACCCTGACAAAACAGAGAACCTCTTTCTATGGAGTAAATACCAACTTAAGAAATTAAACAAACCACCTTTCAACTGGATGACGAGACCATTAATCCCACCGGCAAAGCTAAGAATATGGGCGCCATTATTGACTTATTAGTGAGCAGAAATTCGGCCGTGTATCTGTTATCACTCGTCGCTTCAGTGACTCGTGTGACTCGGTGACTCGTGTTTTCCATTGGCGTTCGTCACGTCCGATTCAAGAAACCTGTATTACTCAGCTATCGTAGCAATGATCTCTGTGTTAAAATTATATTTGGAATGTGTTTAACCAGCTCTAACACACATGTGATAATGACTGGCACCAATGTTGTCCTTTAATAACCATATAACCACAGTCTGTCCTTCATCATGTTATCAATTTTATAAACTAGGAAATATTAAAACTTATGTAAGCTCTGAAAACATCGAACTTTTGATTCATGCTTTAATAACCACTAAATTGAGTTATCATACCTACCGTCCTACTGTATTGATTTCCCAAATCACAAATTCAACGTCTGCAACATGTTCAGAATTCGGCTGCACCTCTACTTACTGCAACTAGGAAAATGACACATATCACCAACATACTGAAAAGCCTTCACTGGCTCCCTGTACATCAAATAATATTATCTAAAATACTATTGTTAACCTATAAAGCTATTAACAACTCTGCTCCATCCCACATCAAAAATCTGATCTTTACATACATTCGAGCACAATGTCTACGATCTTCTTCACAAAAACTCTGACTGGTATCATCGATGAGCTTAGAAATGAACAAACGTTCCTTCCAGTACATTTTAGCTCATTTGTGGAATTCACTACCCCTGCATATAAAAGAATCAAAGTCCGTCTGGATTTTCAAAACAAGACTGAAAACTCGTATGTTCACACAATGCTATGGATTTAATGGAACCAAAATGTACAGGAGATACAATTGACAGAATTCAGTGACTGTCATAATCTCTTATACGACTGCGCACCTGGAAATTGTGTATAAAGATTTTTTTTTATAACTGATTTTAGTAGTCTATGATGCCCGCTTTCAGAATCTGGCAGGTGAACCTTAGTCACTCTTGAGATTTTGAAAAATTCAAGATGGCATCCAAGATGGCCACTATTTCAAATAATCCCCTATAACTCGTAGTATTAAGAGAACGCCCCAGTCTTAAAAACAATGTCCTTATTGGTAAAGGCTGTTGCATAGTTTTAGGGAACAAGCCAAAATTGGGGACAATGAACAATGATTGAAATATACATTGTTTAAAATTATATTGTATTTTCCAGTCTACTGTCCTGTGTGTTAAGTAGCTTGATTGTCAGCAGTTCAATAAAGTTAACTCCATTGTTGTGGGATTGGGAGATTGGGAGAATTAACCTGTGGTGAGTTTTACATTATTCTCATGTGTTATAGTCGTGCTCTGACGGTTTAATATTCAGAATTAAAAGATTAAAGTGTATCTCTCAAACAGGTATATATCCCTTATAATTACTAAAAATGCCTTTTATGATTATTGTTTCTCTGGGATTAAATGACATATTGCTGTTGCCAACCCCCTGTAGCCTTCACAGAACTCCATGTTGCCCCCATTCCCTCTCCTCCGAACACAAAACGACGCACCGCCCTTCGTTGCCTCCCCTAATCCTTCGTGCTGCCGATAAGCCCCCCCCCCACCAACTTTCTCGGCCCTCTTTGTACCCCCCCCCCATCATCCGTTTTGTCACGTCCCCTCACACACAGAGACCTTTGTTACCTCACCTAATCCCTTGTTGCCTCTCTCGTCACCTTTTGTTATTTCCCATGTGGTCTCTCGAGTTCATAAACTATTCCTACTGACTTGCATTGTTGGATTCGATGGTACGGTATTGATTATACATTCATGGGGTCGAGGGGTCGAATCCCAACTGGATCGAATCCCAACAGGGGCAACCTATCATACACATCCATCTATTTCATTTGTCGTTTTAATTAAAAAGGAAAAAAGACATGATTTTCAACTTTTTTTTATCTATTTTCAAAACAATAAGTTATATTTTGGTAAAATGGAAGATTGACATTATATCAAAAAAGGTAATAACATTGGATTAGACGAAAATAGATTGTTGAAGAGTGAGATTTAAGCATTACAACTACAGGTCTTCAGACGGGCGTTGAAGCGGAGATCGTTCTTTTGGCAGTTGGGACAGCAGAGTTTCAAGCCGCTCACACTTATAACATTGACTGCGTCGCAGCCGTTACACTGACTTGCCTTCCAACAGTTCCCAGTCCAATCGTCACCATTTGGTTCCGCTACAAGACACATTTAGAAACGTTAAACAACAATTTCTTAAAATACAATTTTGCTCACTAAATACGCAGACTGACTGGTTTTAATTTATACCTAGATTATTATAGTTGTTCAAATATTGACCCTTTTACAAACAGTGTAACTTTCTAGAACATCCTATATCACTTGTTATCAGATAAGACTCGCAGTGACGTAACAGTTCGACAGAGCGTGGTTTATTTTATCGACTACTTTAGAGTTTTGGAAATGTTAAGAGTAACGAACTGTTTCAACCATAAGCTATGTGTTGATCTTTAAATGCCCGGACAGCCGCACTACGGCCTACTCTTATATCGAATCCCAACTGCCATGGGATCGTTATAAGTAACCCAAGGGTTGCACCATTAACCGCCCTCTAGACCTCTGTACATAGCAGAGTAATATTTACTAGTAACAATTATTACATTTAATTATGTTTGACCAGTACTTAAAGATACATTATGGGAGATTAGATAAAGCACTAGTAGTTCTCAATATAATAGTTACAAACAAGATAATGTAATGGGAATTTGCTGATAATTTCAGTCAAATTGATTCACTCTAAACCGAGAATTTAGCGAATGAATTTTGTGCCTAACCTCGGTCATCATTACTAAAGTCGGTACGATAAAATACATAGTCTCGATTATGAATGAACGTTGAGCAGCAAATCGGATCCTAATCCAGTAAATATCACAGGCTAGCGATGACATCGAGAGTTGATTATGGTCTGGATAAGTTAATTAATGATTTAGATAACATTTCAGGCCTACAGAAAGACCTACAATAGGCCGATTTAGCTCTTGCATAATGTATGTTTAATTTTTACCATATTTCTTCGTATACCAAGAGGATATCTATCAAGTTTAAAGTAGCTAAGTCTCTAACTCAATATCATCCAAAAACTTCGACAATGAAAACACGAATTACTTGTCAATTTTAATCAACATTGGTGTTGTGATCTTACCGGGAAAAGATGGGCTTCTGATGTCCAATAGTTAAGACAAAATAAACATTTTACGATTGGTACACGCATATCGGTGTAGACTGGAATAACCTGACGCTAGAGATTGACATTCGATTGAGACTTCTGGCGTATTTCGACCCCTTTGTGTTCTAATTTGTAGGTCCCAAATATTAGCGATTTAGCTCCTTTAAAGGCTACTGATACGTTGCTTGTTGACGTTTTTACACCAGCATATTTTAAAATTAATACCCATGGATCTTTTCTATTTTACTGGCATCCCTATATTCCCAGTCCTCTGGTGCATAATATAGAACTAGGGCCACGTATGTGTCCAATAACGCTAACTAGATTTACATTAAACTAAAGCAGACTTTCTATCCCCACGGGGCTATACTTTTCCAGGAATCAGATAATTTACAGCTAATTTAAAGTTAAAGGCTGTGACGTACCCTTTGAGTAGCAGGGCCCTAAGTGGTGCCATCCAAAGGGTAGTGCCTAAGAGACCTTAGACAGACTTTAACAGTACTGTTGTCAGTAAACGTTATAGTTGTTTGAATATTGAAAATAATGAATTAAAACAATCGCGATTTATTTGCCAGTTTCAAGAAATGGCGTCATTATCTGCGTATATTGAGTAGAGGATGTGATTCAATAATAGAGATACGTGACTCAAACTAATTCCATCTACCCCCCACCTCTCCCCCTTAGACTGATACATTTAAATAAATAATTAATGAATTATAAAGAAAGGGGAGTGATATGATAATAAATTATGTTAATCTTGTTACCCGCTATTTTTACGAAATCCTGTGTATTGGGGAGTTACGGTGGCTAAGTGGGTAAGACACTGGCTCGCTAGCCTGGAGGTCGCGTGTTCGATCCTTGCATTGGCCGAGAAAGTTCATCGGTATTTTCCGGCGTGGTTTCCCCTTGTCAGTGGTGCAGGACGGAGGGCCTGACAAGGACAGATGTTTAGTCGTTCGGATGGGACGAAAACAGGTCCCGTGTATACATTGGCTGCACGTAAAATATCCCTTGGAGTTGGAATTTAATATAAAAGTAGGTCATAGCGCTGCTGCCCGAGCAAAATTTCCCAAATAACACACTGAATGGCGTATGCCCGTCTTCATTTCATTTCCTATTGATTGGTAGTGTACTTACAACATTGACAGTCATAATCCCGTGTACCGTTGATCCGGGCAAACCTGGTTACTCTAGAAGTAATGGTTGGACAGCAGATCTTCATTCCGTAAATTGAACCAGGGCTCGTGGTGGCTTTAACCCCTGTACATTGTTCACCACGTTCACAAGTCCCATTAAGATCTACAATAACAATCCAACTAAATATTTTATACATTACACAAGAATTATAATTGTTGGTCAAGGGGAATAACGGCAGCTAGACACGTGAAAGATAGTTTTATCCTGACCCTCAGCCTGTAGTTTAGGACTAAAGAATCAAAAATACAAAACACGCGAACTGTTCACATGCTTTAATGTTAGTGCTAAATGATAAGGCAAGCTCAATTTTTCGTCATAGGCCACGAGATGTGAACAGGACTAGCACTAAACTCAACCCTAACCCTGGACCTAGTCCCATTGCTTACCCTAACCGTAACCTACAATTTCGTCAACGATCACGTGCCCTAACATTATTTACATCTCAGCGACCTTGATAAAAATTGAACTGGCCTTAACAAATAGATTTAGCCTTTGGTTCAGTATTCGAATGTAGTCAACATTATCTCGGGTTGTCTTGACGATGCAGATGGTCAACTGTTTTGTATTATATGAAGCCGGTCGGTAAAACAAGGCCGGTTGGGGAGATGACTGGGGTGATAACAACCAGCACTTACGTACGATACAACAGGGATACATGTTAATGTCACAGAATATTCCGTTACGATTACTGTCAAATTAAGTATACACTACAAGACAACAGTGCGACTATGGGTATGAAAATAATGCAAAATGACTCGGGTGCAAGTTTAGCATAATAAAATGTAACTATGAATAAATTATTTCTACTTACGTGTGAAATCGCATTCACAGAAAGCGGGTTTGGTAGAAGTGGCGCTTGCCGCTCTAAAATACATGCTCTGAATCCCGTCCTCTAGCTTACAGCAGACCTTTACGTAGCTAGCAGGTTGACCGGGAGGTTGTACATTGATAAGTTTAAAATTTGTAGTCATGCTACAATTATTATTGGTTGCACAATTAGCTGAAAAGGAACAGATATTCAGACTGCATTATGTGTGGACTAGGAACTGGCCTCAACCGCTACCCATCCTGCTGTTCTTCGAAAAAATTGTAAAGTTGGGCGCAGTATAGTACATGTAGACTTTTAAACAAAATCAGCCGAAAATGTACTTGATAAATGTTTTCTCATATTTCGAGTTTAGTCCCCCCACCCCCTCTCTTTCTGTTCTTGATGTTCAAAAACTAATTCAGTCGTCATTTGTACATGAGGAAATTAAGTATTTGTTTGTCAGGTTGAAGGTTGAAACCTGAATGTGACGAAGGAACTTGACTCTTTGTGACAAAAAATCTACCGTTATAACGCCACATGTGGTGACCAACTTTTCAACAAGTTAAAAACAAACATTCAAATGGTTACATGACACAAAAATCGAACTTAGCAATACTTTAATTGTTGATATATGATGTTTTTACTGGTAAGCCATATGTTAAAATAAGCCCCTAATAAAGCTCGTTTACTGGATTTTTTTCATGTCGTGGACCGGCCTCTCATTAGCCTGTTTGTAGAGATATGAACATATACTATGGAGTTTAGAGAGTTATAAAGCAGTTCATCGTGTCATCTTGGAATTGTGACGTCATCATATAAAATCTAAGTCTGTCAATCAAAGCGTAATTGTCTAATGAACAGCTATCTCAAGGTTCAAGTACTTACCTATCTGACCATGAGTTACATCCACCACAAAACATAGAGTAACCAAGACAACACACATGAAGCTGACAGAATGCATCTTATATACTATAACAGAAATATACAAACAAATTTATTATTAAAGACGCAACTATCTAAAAATCTATTATAAACAACAAATAAAACGCAGCGCGTTTTTCCTAATTTTTTAATTTTTATATCTTATATTTTAACGTTATATTTTAGCGCTCTATGAATTCAATGCAAACTGTAATTTTGAAAGTTGAATAATAAAACCCCACCAAAAACAGCAAATAAAACGGAGTGGGTTTTTCCTAAATTTATCATTTTTATATCTTATATTTTAACGTTATATTTTAGCGCTATATGAATTCCCTGGAAACTGTAATTTTGAAAGTTGAATCACAACTATAAATTATCATCAGTCCAAAAATGATCCAATTCAGTATTTACAAATATATGATGATTTGAAAATTCCATCGACCTATTTATGCTACTCACTATGTAACAATCCCATCGCCATCTCCTTTGACTGACTCAATTGATGGGCCAGTTTTTAAATTGACTGATTTGAAGCCGCGTGGTTATTTATCGTTTTGTTTTTTAAATTAACGGTTAAATAGCGCTAATTGCTTTTGGGGCCATTTGTTCTGTTAATTAACAGTTAAACATACATTATGCAAGAGCTAAATCTGTCTATTGCAGGTCTTTCTTTAGGCCTGAAATGTTATATAAACTATTAATTAGACACTAATTAACCTATTCATACTATAATTAACTCTAGATGGCATCGCTGGCCTGCGGTTCTTAGTGGATTATGAGCCGATTGACTGCATAACTTTCCATCACGATTAAATGGATAATCGAGACTATGCTGTTTATCGTACTGACATTAGTAATGATGATCGAGGCTAGGCGGAAATTTCAATCGCTTAGTTCTCGGTTCATAGTGATCAATTTGAATGAAATTTTCAGCAAATTGCCTTTACATCACTATCTAGTTTGTAACTATTACAGTGAGAACTGCCAATTCGTTATCAAATCTCCCATAATGTATCTTTAATTATAGACCTATTTACAATTTCAAATTTCTATAAATCAATAAGGTCTACAGTAGACATAAGCTGCTATATAAAAATAAATATGGTAACCAAATATATTTCGGTAGGTATTTAAAAATAATTTGGAATGTTAGTTTAATGAAGGAAAAGTTCTCAATTAATTTAAGTCTGTTATTTTTGGAGAAACACGGGCCAACAATTCACTTTCTAAACTTTAACTTAGCGCCACAGATGTTATTAAAGTAAATTATTTGAACTTTATTTGGAATAATGGTTAAACAATGCTACATGTATTTGCAAACCTAGCAATTGTTCAGAAATAAATGGACGTGTAATTTCCATAAGGCGAACTGTAAAATGTATGGAATAAAAACCACTTACTGAAGTCAATGGAATCTGTAATAGTTTCTCAGTGTGTATATTAATTATATCACAGCTCGCGCTATATACCCAACTACACATCCTGTTCACTGTGTAATATAGACCAAAATGAATTGCGTATTTTGGCTTGTTTGTTTGTTGCGCAGTTTAACTTTTTTTTATGGGGAGGGGCAGAAATGAAATGACCGATATAATATAGCTATGGATGACTTGTCAACATTTGAACATATCTAGGTTATTGGCTAGATTATCTGGTATTATATGTACTTATCATGTCTGGAATTTACATTTTTAGATGTTCCGATGTGGTTCCTCTCTTGTCAGTGATGCAGGACGGAGGGTCTGACAAGGACAACTGTCTAGTCGTTCGAATGGGACGAAAAACCGAGGTCCCGTGTACAAATTGGCGTACATGTACAAGATCCCTTGGCAGTTGGAATTCGATATAAGAGTAGGCCATAGTGCCGCTGTCCGGGCAAACTTTCCCTCATAGCCACTGTATGGCGCATGCCCGTCTTCATTAGCCCAGTTCGGGGCAGAACAGTAGGACGTTAAACCCCACTCCATTTCTTTTCTGTAATAAACGGTGTAAATAGCCTTAAAACAAGATGTCGATGCCCATAATGTTTTTTAGAAAACTCGAATTGCATTGCCCATTCAACACCAAACACCCCTTAGTTGTTTTTATTGTAAAGAGCGTAATAAAGGATGTAAATAGCCCTAAAACAGGATGGTGCAAGGATTGTCTTGTCATTTCAGAAAAATCTAATTGTATATCCCGTTCAACATCGAACACTCCTAAGTCTTGTTTTATTGTAAAATTGATCTCTTCGGTGTGGGGGGGGGGGGGGGCATTGGGCCGACTGCAAACGCATTTTCTTATTCTTTCTGCCCGTGAACACAGCAACCTGTAAGTTGTCAAATACAGCCTTATATACGCAACCGAAAGCCCAGTCAATGCCAATCTGAGCCCCAATCAACTAATCAGATTGTTGGAGAGTGACTAGTCTAGCGTGGAGCGACACACTATTTATTACACTGATTTTAAATGTGTTATCCGTAAGTTAATTAACGAAACATTGATGACACAATGATGGATCCCCGAAAACTGTCGCACAATGCAGAGTGGTGTAGTAGGATTGGCAGAATTTTGCTCTTTAAATTAATAATAGCATTATATTATCTCTCTAACTAATTATTGGGTTCACATGCATGCATGTATTGTAGGGAAGTCATATCCCATACACTCAAACTGAATGAAAGGTTTATATATAAATAAAAGTCATAAATTCATAAACATTTAATTCAGGCTTAATAACAAAATAACACGTCTGACACTTCCGGTGGAAAGTTTCTACTGTCCATATAAAAGTGGTTATTGACGTCATTAGGCTTAGTAACCGAACATCCGAGTCAATTACGTAATATTTGTCCAATTAAATAATTGACAAGAGCTGTCTCAAGGACACTGTCAATGTTATAAGACTGATTTAGGTCCGATAGATTTTAGACTGCCGCTAAATTCTTAGAGAGGGTAGACATCATGAAGAATCCTTAGTGTTAGACATCGGCTGGGTTCTTTAGACGACCATATGATGTAGCGGTTTCCTACAAGTTGTTTATTAAAAATTTAACGTCCAATTATTATGGACAAGTTGATTTAATTAAGCTATTTACATATAAAGGCATAATAAAAAAAAAGAACAAAATGGGTAAAAACATAAAAAAAAGTTCTTATACACGGTGTTAAAATTCGCGGTCTTGAGAAGAGAGGGCATGTCATCTTCTCCTTTTGCCATGATAAAAACAAGTTACAACAGGAGGTCCATGTTCCTGAAGCAACGACTGCGAGTTTTACAACATCTGGACGTTGCTAGATTACTTTACAATTCCCGAACTTATAGCTACGTTATCTGCAGACACGTGAACAATAGCGTCCAATCAGAGGTTGTGACATAGCGACCTCCAAGGAAACCTTGACATTGAACGAATCTTGAACTTGGCAATTCGATTATCACAGGTAGACATTTTAATTGGAAAGCGCGAGACTTGGTATTCGCGATGATCGAGGAATCTGATAGGTCCACGAGCTGGGTGAATACCCCATTGAAATTATTGCGAAATATGTAGGGTATTACGCGAAGGCCTTGATAAGATGTACATAGTTGAACCTGTGGATTATTTAGATATTAAAAACTGTTCGTGCGATTATTTCCTTAAAGCGATATGAATAGATACAAATAACCAAAATGGCTCAATAAATGATATTTTCCTCGGTTGACGAAGGAATGCGAGGAATATTATTTTCTCATTGTTGCGAAAAAGTGTTTCCGTACCTCCTTAATATTACGTTATTGGTTGCGCGTGCATTGACACGTTTGTGTCACTTCAGGCAATTGGTTGCGCGTGCATTGACACGTTTGTGTCACTTCAGGCGACACAGATAGCACGGGCTTTGTTTTGACTGAAATTCTACGACTTACTAATAATGATGTCTTCAGATGATCATATACAGGACTTTCTGCAGCTTCGAATAGTAAATCGATTTCTGGTGATAATATTACGTTAACAGATATATTTGATCAATTTAAATCTCAACCAGCGGCTGCCAGGCAGGATACGCCCACATTTTCGAGAGATGGATAGAGAACAAGCTAACAAGAAAGTGATTTTTCCTACAATCAAGGGCCATAATTCAGGAAATTACAATTCGATATGCGTGAATATCGAAAGCAACCGAGATCTTTGGGTTATAAACTTACATTTCAAGTTTCAACAAAATCGGATAAAAATTGTGACCTCTATAGGGTCCACAACCTTGATATACTTTACCCTATTTGAGAAAGAACGGCAGCCATTTTGTCTGTCAATTTTGGGCCGATTTTCACGAAATTCGAACTCAGTCGTCCTTAGGGTGTAACGGTGATATAATAAAACGTTTTTTTTTAAATCGGATAAAAATTATAACCTCTATAGGGTCCACAAGCTAAAAACGTGATTTTTCGTACAATCAGGGGCCATAATTCAGGAAGTTAAGATCCGGTATGCGCGAATATCGAAAGGAACCGCAATCTTCGGGTTATAAACTTACATTTCAAGTTTCAACAAAATCGGATAAAAATTGTGACCTCTATAGTGTCCACAACCTTGATATACCATATTTTTACGCTATTTGAGAACGAACGGCGGCCATTTTGTCTGTCAATTTCGGGCCGATTTTCACTAAATTCGAACTCAGCCGTCCTTAGGGTGTAACGGTGATATAATAATACGGTTTTTTTTAAATCAGATAAAAATTATGACCTCTATAGGGTCCACAATCTAAAAACACGATTTTTGGTACAATCAGGGGCCATAATTCAGGAAGTTACGGTCCGATATGCGCGAATATCGAAAGGAACCGAGATCTTTGGATTATCAACTTAGATTTCAAGTTTCAAGAAAATCGGATAAAAATTGTGACCTCTATAGTGTCCACAACATTGATATACCATAATTTTACGCTATTTGAGAACGAACGACGGCCATTCACGAAATTCGAACTCAGCCATCCTTAGGGTGTAACGGTGATATAATTGAACGTTTTTTTTAAATCGGATAAAAATTATGACCTCTATAGGGTCAGGGGCCATAATTCAGGAAGTTACGGACCGATATGCGCGAATATCGAAAGGAACCGAGATCTTTGGATTATCAACTTACATTTCAAGTTTCAAGAAAATCGGATAAAAATTGTGACCTCTATAGTGTCCACAACATTGATATACCATATTTTTACGCTATTTGAGAACGAACGACGGCCATTTTGTCTGTCAATTTCGGGCCGATTTTCACGAAATTCGAACTCAGCCATTCTTAGGGTGTAACGGTGATATAATTGAACGGTTTTTTTAAATCGGATAAAAATTATGACCTCTATAGGGTCCACAAGCTAAAAACACGATTTTTGGTACAATCAGGGGCCATAATTCAGGAAGTTACGGTCCGATATGCGCGAATATCGAAAGGAACCGAGATCGTTGGATTATCAACTTAGATTTCAAGTTTCAACAAAATCGGATAAAAATTGTGACCTCTATAGTGTCCACAAGCTAAAAACGTGATTTTTCGTATAAACAGGGGCCATAATCCATGAAGTTTCGATCCGATACATGCCAATATCGAAAGGAACCGAGATCTTTTGGAGATAAACCTATATTTCAAGTTTCGTCAAAATCGGATAAGAATTGTGACCTGTAGAGTGTCCACAAACAAATTGTGGACGGACGGACAGGGGCGACGGCATAATACGTCCACATGAAAATGTGGGCGTATAAAAACGTGAATTAAATAATTACCTTGATATAGAATTTGATACAGAAATTTCATCCTTGAAAACGGAAATTAATGGGACCTCACGTTCCGTAAAAAGTTTAAAACATGGTAATAAGGATTAATTTGTGTATAATTTTGATTTGTCCTATAATCTCACCCAAGAATTATGAGGAATGAGTTTTGGTAAATTGGATCATGCAAAGGAAATCATTCATGGTTGTCTAGATAAAATTACAAAAAGATCAAAACTTATCAAAATAGCTGATTCATCTGATGCAAGATGGGAGACTGTAAGAGGCTCATCCCCTTGTTGATGATTCTGAAGATGATAAAATTAAGAGCTGAGGCACTCGCTTTGAGAAAAAAGAAGCGAGTAGCCGAAATGAAATCTAAAGGTAAATTGTCATACAATGTACATTCTAATAATGGTTCCTTTGGAGTTTCTGCAGCTCAGACCAGGAATCTGTATTCTAATCAGAATGATCAAAATAGCTGATTCATCTGATGCAGGATAATTAATCAACTTTCTGGGTCGTTGTAAGTAGATTTATCTATTAAGCTCAATTGTCCAAGGAACAAGCATGCCGAAGAACCTCGCCCTCAATAACAAAGAGACGAGTAGCGGTTGCGGACCAGTTTCTGGTCAAATAAAGAAGCAGTGGGACAATATCCACTGATGGCGTCCAGGAAAAATCACAGGCTGCCGGTACTACTGAGGGAGGTAATGTAGCAGAATTAGGTCGACGTCACACGATGGTAAAACGTTCAAAGCTCGTTTAGTAGCACAAGTA